TGGAATGTCGCTCACCCCTTCTCTTTCTGTTCTGCTCCTCCACCTCCATCGATGACCACCACCTCCTCCTCTTATTTTATTCCATCCTTCCTCAAGACCATATCATTTTTTCTCTTTCTATCGTATTGCTTCAACCCCATTCCATCCTTCTTTCTTTCTCTTTCTCTCTCATTTTTCCTTTATTTCTCCCTTTTCAACTCTCCCTCACTCTCCCTTGATCTCCTCTCGAGATTTAACGGGGTGCATCGTAGTACACGTTATATCGATCCGATTCATAATTAGGAGCGCATATAGAAAAAGAAACCTGCGAAGTTAAGGGGAAATGTGTTTAAAATATTAGCGTGTTGATCGTAATCTAAGTATTATAGTTGATTTCCTTGTGCTTCTTTTTTTTCTTCCCAATTTCCAGATCGGCCTGGAAATTGCTAAAACAAACTATTTTTGTAATATTCTTTTGAAATTTCTTTTATAAGTTTGAAATTTTTTTTCTTTTCTTTTTTTTTTTTTTTTTTTTTTTGCAAATATAAGAAAATTCTTCAAGATATGAGAAGTATTTGAACATATTTCTTTTTAAATATTATGTAAATATTTGCATACAATTTTGGGACAAAATATAGAGAAAATTTTATAAATTATTTAAAAATATTCCATTTTTTTCGTAGAATATAAATTTTTTTTCTGACAAATAAATATTTAATTTAATGATTTTAAATTTGACATATTTTTTATTCTATTTATATATTATTAAAGATGAAATCTTTAATTATAGAATGTTTCAAATTATATACTTTTATGGATTAGACAAAATTTATTATGATTTAATTATAATTAATCTTTATTTATAAAATAAAAAACAAAATAATAAAATTATAAAATAAATTTGAAAATTTTTCAAAAATAAATCTTTAAATATTATATTTTAAATTTTAAAAAATTAATTTGAATTTATTATTAATATATAGTAAATACAAGAAAAAACAATACAAGAAAAAATGTTGTAATTGAATTAATAAATTCTGATGTAAATCTACTAAATCTACTAAAGAGACGATATTAGATTTCATTTATCCTTCCATTCCTCTTTGCCTCACCAGATTTATTGAATCATAAATAAGAAACTACGCGCGAATCGCAGGAAAGTTAAACATTGAGTAAGATACGCACAATGGTTTACGATCGTGAATTCTTTATAGCTCGTTGATTATATAACTTTACGCGACAAAGACCTTTTCGTCCATTGTGATGTTGTTTTGTTACTATTATTCATCTATAAACTTATCCGCATTATTGACGTATATTTACTGAATGCTGTAATATTAAATATTTTTTAGCAAATTTAAGGCATTTGTTAAGTTATCAACAGTTATAATTTTTTAAATTCTTCTCTTTTATTCTTTTATTTCTTTATACAAGTAGAACAATTATAATTTTATAATAAATTTAATATGTTCATATCAATTATATATAAAATTGAAATAAAAATTAAATATATATTTAGATATATCTAATATACTTAGATACATTAATCAGATATTAATAATATAGTAAAATATAATATATATATTAGAAAAAGATAATATATGTATATATAAATACATATATATAAACAAAATAATATAAGATTATATATATGGATATATTATATGTAATATATTATATGTAATATATATAATCTTATATATATATACATAATATATAATATAAACAATTTAAATATCTCTACAAAATATTCTTCTATTTTTTTCTATTTTTTTTTAAATTTCTATAAATAAATTTCTATTTTTTTATGTAATATCAAAATTAATGTCTATAAATAAAATAAATTAATATTAAATAGTAAAACAAATTATATAATAATAATAAATTTTAAATAATTTATTTATTAATTCAAATATTAATTCTTTTATCTATTTATTAAAATGCTTATTAATAAATTAATGATTGATGGAAAGATATATAGATAGAAAACAAAAATTGTTATAATAAAAAATTATAATTAAAAAAGAAAATTGAAAATTTTATTAATTTGAAAATAGCAACAAAAAATTAAATACTACGATTTCATTAAAAAAAAGAAAAGAATAGCGTTATCATTAAATCGTTTTTTAATAAATTTAATAAAAAAGATTTCTAATTCTGTCCATTATAAAAAATATTAAATTTCTATTTAATTGATTCCTTGCAAGTTGATTTGAATTATATTTAATTTTATGTTTTGTTGCCTATTTTAAAATGTTTTGCACGATTAAACTTTCTCAACTTTCTTCATAATTTCATCCGTTTTATTGAAGTTAAGTTGATATCGATAAAAATAATCATCCAATGATTATGAATTATTTTTTAAAAATAACATTAATATTTAAATCTAATTGCTATTTATTTTTAATTTCGAAAAATATTATTTCACATTAGAATATTCCCATTATGTTTCATTATTCTTTTATAACTTGATGCTGAATATCTCTTATTACACATTTCACTAATGATAATTTACATTTTATTCATGTTTGTTCTGCATACCGGTAATAAGATGGAGACACATCTATATGAAGGTGTGTGTTGATTATTTCAACAGGTGATACATCAAAGCAATATTCATGTGATTTTTTATGATTATTAAAAATATAGTTTAACAAATATATTATAGTTTATAGTTAATTATACTTTAAATATATTTTATTAGGATAATTAAAAAAATAAAAATTTAAAATTAAAATTTATCTCTTATGATAAACATATTTTATTTTTCTTCATACTTTACTTTCTTTTTTTTATAAACATCTATAATTTCAAAAGTTTTCTAATTTTCTAATTTTTTAAAATTTTAAGATCAATCATATTTCGAAATATTTTTTCTTCATTTTTATTTTTTATTTACAAAATTTGTATTTTTTTTTATTTTTCCATGATTTGCAATCTAATATATGCTGTTATAATGAATACGAATCATTGATAGCTATCAGCAAAACAAGAATTTAAAATTAATAAGGTTACGAACTTATTATGTATGATAATTATTTTAAATTATGCTTCGGAAAAAGGTGATATTTAAAAGTTACTTGACGTATGGTTATTCAAATCAGACCAGACATAATATGAGATGACCGTAACGATCATTTATGATGGATATACACCATGTCTACTAATGATCAAAAAACATTAACATACCATCGCTGCTATCGGCATCATGACTTATCAAATTTATTTTAACAAAAATAAAAAAATTAATAAAAGAAGAAAATAAGTTTTTTTTTTACACTCTTTTTTTTTTTCTTTGATTTTTTTGTTGATATAATGGTAAATCCATATTTGATCAATATGAGCAATGATATGACAAATCAATTAATTTAAATATTAGCGATAATACCCATGGATTTTTTAGTAAAAGTTTTTATTGTTATAATTATTTTATTATTAATATATTGTGTTATTTTTATATTTTATTATTATTTTATTATTATTTTATATTTTATTTTTCTGTTTCTTATTATATATATTTTTTTAATTTTTACATATTTACACTATATCTTGTTAAGTTAAAAAATTATGCTAATAATAATGATTAATATAATAAAATTACAAAAAAGTGCATTACATACACAAAAGAGTGTTTACTTATTTATTTACAATAAATTTTTAAATAATAAATAAAAATAAATGAAAACTATTGAGAATGTTTTACCATACAAGTATGAAAAAAATCTATAAATTAGATCGATAAAGTAGAGTATATATTACCGTGTAATGGTAACTATGCTATATTTATCCAAAAATTAATTATTAAAATTTGAAGTATATATAAATTAAAATAATTTTAATAAATCAAGTGAAGATATATTTTTTTATACAATAACTGTATATTTAATTAAATATTAATATGATTTCAGTAATTTTTCTTTTTCTTATTACCGAGTATATTATATTATTTCATATTTTTTATAATAAATATAAAAACAGATAATTTCAATTTTATATTTGAACATGATATCTACATAAAATTATAAAGAAATTAATTATTGATCCGCATAATTAGTATGATGGTTTAAGAAGACGATATACACGTTTTGAATTTACAAAACTTACATATAATCATTTTCGTCTTCTTTTAATTGATGTACCGGATAATGGTACGCTTATCGATGATTAATAATTAAGTTATAAAAATCGTGCAAATATTCTAACTTGGAGGGAGATTCGTGCAGTAATTATATTATTCTACGCCTTCCTCTTGGTTTTCTTTGGAGATTTCGAACTTTTGGAAGTTTTCGGGCTTTTTGCAGTTTTTACAAACATGTTTTTCTTTTTCGTCGTCGATTTCTTAGCCATATTTGCGTATTTATCGATTAAAGAATCGAAAAATTTATCAGATTGACTTGCTCGGGCCTCATTGCAATTCTGAATCGCTAAAGCTAAATTATTTGCAGCTGCGTTTTCCTCGTTCTCAATTTTTAGCATTTTATTTAGACGTTCAGCTTCTTGTGCTTCTTTGGCCCACTGGAAATAAAAGCAAACAAATTATTTTTTTCGAAATTAATAATTTTTATATAATATATATTTTTATATAATAATTTATATATAATTTAATAAATACGATTTTTATTAAAATGAGAATCATTAAACAAGATGATATATTATTTTATATTAAAAAATTTTATAATATCACACATAATATAATTAATCACAAAATATTTATATATTTTATACGAGTTCAATTAATAATTAAAATCAACAATAATAATTTTTTTTTATATAAAATATTATAAATAGACCATAATAAATTATATATAGAATAATTATTAATTATTAATTATAATTATTAATTATTATATTAATTGTATATAATAATTATATAATTTTTTTATTAATGGAATATCATTTTAAAGAAATAATTTTGAAGTTTCAGTATTATTTTCTTAAATATAACTTCGTAATAGTGATAAAGCAAAATATTAAATTATAAAATATTCTAGTTTTAATGTTCTATTTATTTTGTTAAAAAAAATATTTGTAATTGTATACAAAACATAAAATAATGAGGATTAATTTCATGTTGATTTCAGATTTTGCATCGAAAAATATTGTTCTACAAATTTTCATTAAAATCAGATTTTCAAAAATATGTAAATTTCTTTATAAGAATATTACGTAAAAATATTTTTACAATTAACTATAATATATACGATAACTAACATATCTGCAACAAAATAAAAAAGTTAATTAAATATGTATTATTTTTTTAAATATATTTTTGAATTTATAAACCATTCTAAAACATTTTGAATGAAACATGTGAGAAAAGAATTAATTTTTGTAAAGATATTATGTTCACGATTTTATATTAGATTATATATTAATAAGGAATTTAAATACGTAACAAATGCAACTCAAAGAAATTGATAAATCAGAGATTATGCAGAAGCGCTTCAATATATCTATTAATAAGGTTACTTATGACCACTTCATGATACACATAACTATTTTCGAAACTTAACCATATGCCTATCCTCAAGATTATCAGACTTCGTTGCTTTTCGTCTCGGTTTCTGCTCGTCAATTAACAGAAGTTTAGTAATTTTAACGAGGAGTTATCAAAAATAGAAAATAATAAAGGTCCAATTCAACGACTATTAACAAAATATACTCATTTCTATTTTTTACACGTGAAAAAATTTTCCAACGACATTTGATCAACAGAAATTTTTATATTTTATGATTATTTCGCATGGATGATTTTTATGATGCTTTTGGTCATAGAAAATTAAAATAGATAAATAATATATGATATAAATTTTTGAAACTACTGCTATTAAAGATATTTTAAAACATTGATACTATGTCAAATTCAAATGATATATATCTATTTAAAATTCTTGAAGATGTATATTATGTGAATGATTATTTGAAGAAAAATTTTTGTCCTTATGTGATAGGAATATCTTAGATATTCTATATTTTCTTTAATAACTTTTTACATTCGTGATCAAATATCGCAAAATCGCAAAATAGAAATTTTTTACAAAGATAATCAAGAATTATGTATCAAAATAAAATATAGAAATAGATTGAAATATAGAAATATATTGTCAAAACATTTAGTTTATGGTATTATACTAATTAACAAATTACTAACTTAATATAATATAAAATACAGATTATTAATTTTATTTTTCTGAATTAAATTGATTTTTTATCATCTTTATTTTTACAAAATGATATAATTAAGGAAAGGATATTTATAAATATTCAGCAGGAAAAGTATTGATTAGTTTTCGATTGAATTATTCAATCAGAATGCTTTTCAAATACTATTTTAATCAAAATCAAGAATTAGATCAGAAATTGAAGTTAAGATCTTATTCGAAGTCAAGAAATATAGTTAAAAATAAAAAAATTAATAAAGTTGATATAATATTGGGGATATTTGATACGATTAACGATTGAAAATTATAATTATAATATTTGATTATCATTATCTATTATCATTAACAATAACATTTTTTTTTAATATAAGAATACTATAATCAATGAAAAAGAAAATAAAAATCAATGTAATCATGAAAAAAATCAAATAATTGAAAATATAAAATAAAATTGTTTCGGAAGATTGTTTTTGAAAAAATTAAAAATTTATCCAGTAATATAATATAAAATAATTAATAAAATAAAAAATTTTCTTTTTTATATTAAGTCTTTATAATATTTATAATATTTATAATATTTATAAAAAAACAAATCAATTTAAATTTTACATCATTGGATATAAATATAAAATTATATAAACTTAATCAGTTCAGAGATCATCTCTATTTTTAGATTAAATTTAAACTTAAAGAATCAAATTTTAATAATTACAAAATATATATAATTAAAATAAAATGGCGTAAAATTAATCTAGCAATCAAATTTCAAAGCGATATTTAACTTGAATTATATATTATGTCTTTAATATATTGCTAGTTGCTAATATAATATATTTAATTTGAATTCTTTCTTAATTTATTATATATCAATAGAACTTCAATTAAATTTTGACTAAAATGATTAGTATCAAATGAATAAATAATTAGCAATCAATATTTATAAATACATTTATAAATATATAAACATGTACAATAATATTTTTCAATTATAATTTTAATAATTCATTTATTTCAATTGTCAATTAATAATCAAATAATAAATTTTATTCATTTGCTATAACTAAAGATTTTATATCTTTACCAAAATCTCTTTCGTAACTAGATAATTTTATTTTAGAAATGTATATCTATGTGCATAATTAAAATTAAAAAATGATACGTATACTCGTCATATACAGAATAAATGCATTTATTATAAAATTCAATTAAATTATAATGAAATAATAATTGGATTTTTAAATAAATAATTTTTCAAATGTTAATATTATCATTAAAAATATAAACATTCATACTTTTTTTATTAAGAAAAAAAATCAAATACATAAAAAAAAATAATAAATCTGAAATTGAATCTATCTATAAATTTTTTTTTTAAATTATTTTATAAAATATATTTGAAGATTTGTAAATATTTCATTCATCACAATATAATGTTTTTCAAGAAAATTCTTTTATTATTTTTTTTTTTAATTTCATTGTTATCTCAAAATATTATAAAATACCTTAAATTTATGTATTTTTTTCTTCTTTTGATAAAATTTTAATTCAAATAATAAACAACAATAAATTATTTTTTATTTTCATTTATATTTATCATAATATTTATATAT